AACTTTAACCTGCTCATTACTTGCTAGTAGAGTTATACAAGTAAGGAATTAGGTTCCTATTATTAAGATCCAGGATTTTCAAATTAGGATAAATACAAGTATATATTCAAAAGATTTTTTAAAATGCTATAAATACTAAATTTGAGTTGGAGATGTCAATGCAAAGTCATCTGTGTAGTGCTTTTTCTGATTTTGTGTGTTGGAAGCAATAGCACCCGGGGATTTAGCTCAGTGGCGCCTGCCTGGCAAGTGCAAGGTCCTGAGTTCATTCCCCAGTACCAAAACAAAAAAAAAAAGAAGCAATAGCAATTGGTGCTTAGATTTTGAGCTCCACAAACCATTCTCTGCTAAGAGCAAACAGGAGCCCTTGGGAACTTGGTTTATTCTTCATCTAAAGCAGTGCTTTTTAGTATTTTTAAAAAACTTACTTCCCATCGTAGGAGCCTTTGTAGAATTTAAAACAATCTAATCCCCCTCTACCGCATGGACATTTGCTGCCACAGCTACCTCATGTGTCAATGTATTGTCACTGTCTGAGGGGTCACATTCCATTGGAGTATCTGAGGTGTTTCCCTCCTTCCCAAGAGCCAGTTACTTTGAGGGTGCATGGTAAACAGGAAAAGGAAAGCACACTGTAACAGAAAGCACAGGACCAGTCCAGCCAGAAGCAGCTCCCATGGACTGGAATGGGAATAAGTGGGTCATTACCAAGAGTAGTTCTGTGAAGTACACTGAATGTATAAAAATCCACAAGCTCATAATCTTGCGAAAAAGAAAACAAAAGTAAAATGAATACTCATCTGCCATCACTGGAGATAGTTTCTACCATCTTTTTATCCTAAAATCTAATTAAAGGAAAATACTACTCTCTCAGTGAGAACTGTAATTCAGTATAATTAAATAGTCCCGATGAAGAGGAAAAGCTGTTCTTTTTTTTTTTTTTTTTGGTACTGGGGATTGAACTTGGGTCCTGTGCTTGCAAGGCAGGCCACTGAGTCGCTGAGCTAAATCCCAGGCCTGGAAAAAAAAAGCTGTTCTTTACAGAAGATATGCCAGCTGATACTTATTCAATTATAGGAGAAAAGTCATCATTTAACACCCCTGTAAAACAATTAAGTCTTGCCAGTGGGTACTGACACCATTAGGTGTCGATTGACAGGAAACTAGACAGCCCCAGAGTGTCATCCAGGGTCTAAGGGGGGACCTCATGCAGGGAGAGCTTGCGGGCCACCCTGACCCAGTGAATAAACAGCCCTACCCCAGAGATGTGCGTCTGCAGGGCTGTGTTGTGCATGAAATACATAAGACCACCTCTTAAAGTGTTCTTACAAAGTGATTTCATCTGAATCATCTAACCAGGTCTCTCAGACCTAACTCCTAGTGCACAGGAAGTACAGAGGACAGGATATCACTTAAATGATTGTGAGAGGACATAATCAGGCAGGCCCAGAAGTGGAAACTGACATTCTGCAAGACAACTGTTCTTTTCAGAAAGTTACTATAAAAAGATGGAGGGGGTACTATTCTAGACAAGAGATTTATTTGTTTGTTTATCCATCTTTTTTTTTTTTTGGGAACTCAGGACCTTGCATTTGTGAGGCAGGTGGCGGAACCACTGAACTAAATTCCTGGCCCTATCCATCTATTTATTTATTGTTTTTATGAGACAGGGTCTCACATAGTTCAGGCTGGCCTTGAACGCTACACATCTCAGGCGGGCCCCTAACTTGCAATGATCCTTCTGCCTCAGCCTCCCAGTGCTAGCATCACAGACATACACCATCACACCCTGCTAAATAAGAGATTTTAGGTATTAAGAAAGCAGTGCATGAGGATAGGGATTTAGCTCGGTGGTTCCACTGCCTGCCTCACGAACACAAGGACTTGAGTTAGAACCTGCTACATAAGACATTTTGGGAATAAGTATGTATGGAAATATGGATATGGACTGGCTATTGGATGATACTAGGGAATTATTTTTAATTTTGTCCAGTGAATTAATGATGTGTGGCTATGTAGAAAAAAATTCCTTATATTTTAGAGATATAAAAGTATTGAGAGGTGAAATGTTTCATGTCTGACATTTATTTTAACTTCAGCCGGGCATGGTGGCGCACGCCTGTAATCCCAGCACTCAGGAGGCTGAGGCAGGAGGATCACTGTGAGTTTGAGACCAGCCTGGGCTACATAGTGAGTTCCAGGTCAGTCTCAACTACCTAGTGAGACCCTGTCTCAAAAAACAAAAAACAAAAAACAAACAAACAAAAAAGAACTTCAGCATGAAGAAAAGGTCGAAGCAAAAACAGCAATGTTTGGTAGACATGGTAGTGCACTCCCAGCTACCATGAGGCTGGAGCAGGAGGACTGCAAGCTGGCATCCAGCCTGGGCAATAAAATAAAAAGGGATGGGGATACAGCCGAATGGGAGCCCCTAGGTCCAATGCCCAGCACTATTTCTTTGTTTTTGTTTTTTCTTGGAATCTTCATTTTATTTTATTTTTTATTTGTCTGTTTGTTTACTTATTTTTCCCCAGGACTGTCCCCCCTCCAGGTCTGTTTTTTAAAATGTGTTAAATCTAGGAAATGAGTATTTGAACATTAACTGTTCTAGTCTCGATTCTTTAAAAATAAGTTTGAAATTTTTCATAATACAAAGTTTTAAAAATTGCAAATGATTTGAGTGAAGGGTCCCTAGAGAAGCTATTTCTTGGCCCCAGCGCGATAGGTGAGTTTTGACTTGTGCTGTGACCTGCGACCATGTGACTCTTGGATTCTTTGTTTTCCCGCCCTTCCCTCCACCCTTGCAGCCCTCTTTGAATCTGTGCACAGCAGCCAGGCCTCTGGGGGCCCATTTTCCCCACCCCAAGTGCTTCATTCACCCCCACTGCAGCTCCAGCAGCGCTCTGAGAAGCCTCCGTGGTGTAAGTAAACTTTTCTACCTCCCAAGACAAAGACCAAGACGATGGGGGTGTGGGTGGAGGAGGTACCTGTCCTATGAAAGAGGGAAGGGCAAGGCTTGTAGACCAGGAATGATGTCCTGTTTCCAAGACAAAGGGAACACCTGCTTGTGCTTCTTTCTCCTGTGTGCGGGGAGAGTTCCTCAAAGACGGTGACCCAGAGCAACTTTGGGGAAAAGAGGTCTAGACGTCCCTTTCCTCAGATCCCCTTCTGGTCTTGATAGACCTTTGTCTGGTAGAGGTGACTAGGAAGCAACCTGGGTTTACAGAAAAACTGGAAGCAGGAAGCTGGAATTTTCCCCTCATTTCTACATGTCCCTTTTCTCAAGTTGTCCCAGCTTGTTGAAGAATAATAATGTCAGACATTCGGTGGAGCCATAGGGAGTGTTAGGGTGACTGCAGAGAAGGAGACATTGGTGCTAATGGGTAGTGAGAGTACTGGCCAAGGCACCAGGAAGGGAAAATTCCTTTCCTCATCATTGTACATCTAGGGAATAACTGAAACCCAGCATGCCTTTCATTATCACTAGAGAGGCCTGACAACAAGATTTATATTGCAGCATTGGGATTAACAGTTGCAAGATTTTGCCTTTCTTTGAACACTGTAGAAAAAAAAAACTTTCCTCCCTGACACCAGGAATTCTGCTGAATTTCAGATTGTTCTACATTCACCTTGTTGTTTCCCCCTTTTCCTCTTTCTTGAGGTGTTTATGGAAAATCTTACCCTTTTCCCTCTTCTCTTCTCTCCTCTTCTCTTTCTTTCTTTCTTTTTTCCCTCGGTACTGGGGATCAAACTCAGGTCCTTGGGCTTGCAAGGCAGGCACTGTACCACTGAGCTAAATCCCTGGCCCCTTCCCCTTTCTGTTTCTCACTGGCCTCTTTGATTTGCCTGAATCAGACCACTAGCTGGATAGTAAGGCCACTTTTGTACTTGGGGAAAACTTGGCTTACACCTTTGCTTCTTCTTTCTCTTTTTTTTTTTTTTCTTTCTGGTATCAGGCCTTCATTAGTAAGCATCTTTTTGGGAATCTGTTTTCTGTACCAGAAACAGGCTCTATATCTTTAAAACCTGGCCTGGCCCAAAACCATTTTCTGCTTAAAGTGTACCTCCTCTGTCCCTTCAGAGAAGAGAGATAAGAACTGTATCTTAAACTCAGCAACTGGGTTCTGCAAGATCAGACCTGCCAACTTTCCCAGATTCTCTTTGATGATAGCATAATCATGTGTTTTCTGTTTCCAGAATCTATCATTATTGATACTGAAGTGATTTAATATATAGTTATAATACCATTGGAATATGATGTTTGCAAAGGGAAAAAGTAGTCTGAGTTTGGGGTTGGAGTCATCCCACAGTATAATTAAAGGTGCTGAGGTCTTTATACTACTGTCAGGATCCGAGAAGTTAGTTTTTATATTTTCTATATGTATTATAAGCACAGTTCTATAATATTTTATGTCCCAACATTTAGAGTGTTTCCATGGATGGGCTTCAGGATTGTCTGTGAGCTCCAGTAATCATATGTAAGGTGAATGTGAACAGTTGCACACATAAACTTTTCCTGGAAGATAATTCGTGACTTTCACTAGTATCTCAGAGGGTTCAGTGATCCCCAGAAAGGCTGAAAACTTCTACCAGCCAGGCACAGTGGTGCATGCCTACAATTTCAGCTGCTCAGAAGGTTGCGACAGGAAGTTTGAGAGCTGCCTGGGCAACTAAACAAAAATCCTGTCTCAAAGCAAAATAAAAAAGAGTAGGGGTGTAGCTCAGAGGCAGAATGCTCACCTAGCATGAGGCCAAGTACTGCAATGAAACAAAACAAAGCAAAGCAAAAAATCTGCCACTTGTAGATGCTATGGCAGTCATCTATGTTTGTATAAACCATTTTCTTTCCTACTGTTCTGTCTTACAGGGTTTTTTTGTTGTTGTTGTTTTGTTTTTACATTTTCTTTTCTTTTTAAAGGAGGAAAGGTCTATTTAGCTCAAACTTTGTAGAGGTTTCAGTCCTGGCTCCAAGGCAGGGTGGTATGACAGAGGAGTATGACAGAGGAGAAATAGTTCATGGTGGGCAGAAGGTAGCAAAGTAAGCAAGGGACAAGAAAAGCCTCTGTCTTTTTTTTGCGGGGAGGCAGATCAAACTTGGGACCTTGCACTTGTGAGACAGGCAGCAGCACCATTGTGCTAAATCCCTGACCAAGAAGAGTCTTTCTGTCTTTTACATTGTATCCAGGCTACTAGGATTAAGATGCCAAGCCAATCAGTGGACTGATTTAGTAATTATCCACCCTTAATCTTTATACCCTTAATCTTAACATTGCACCATGAATCATTACACACTCTAGATTCAGTCACCTCTGAAAAAGCCTCACTGCATGAGGCTTTGGGGGGATATGTAGACACAAGCCATAGCACTCCGCCTTTGCCCCCCAAAGATTTATGTATATCCCTTTATACAAAAGGCATTCAGTCCATCTCCAAGAGTTGCCGAAGTCCTAACAGTTTCAGCATTGCTGAAAAGTCCAAGTCCAAAGTCTCCTCTAAGATTTAAGGCAAACTCTTAGCTGTGAGCCCCTGTATAAATGCAAAGAAAGTTAAACACTTCCAACATTCAGTGGCACAAGATAAACACTGTCATTCCAAGGGGTACTAAGTGGTTTATAGAAAGGAATGGGGCCGGGTGTGGTGGCACATGCCTGTAATCCCAGCACTTGGGAGGCTGAGGCAGGAGTATTGCTGTGAGTTTGAGACCAGCCTGAGCTACAATAGTGAGTTCCAGGTCAGTCTCAACTACATAGTGAAACCCTGTCTCAAAAAACAAAAAAAAAAACCAAAAAAAAAAAAAAAAAAAACAAAAAAAAAAAAAAAAGAAAAAAGAAAAGAAAAACCAACAAGAAAGGAATGGGAACAAAGCAAGTCCAAAACTCAGGAGGGCAAACCCATGTCCAGCATCTGAAGCAGTCTGAGGCAAGATGTGAACTCCAAAGGGCTTGAGTGGCTCCACCCCTATGATATTTCTGGTGGTTGGAGCTCCCTAGCTTTTCTCTGGTACATTTTTCTCGCTTACTTATCTCTTTGCATATAAACAATGATTATCTCTGCCTGAGAAATACATTGATTACTTTTAACAGTGATTCCAAGCAGCTTACATCAGATTATGTCAAGTTCAACTGAGTGTTCCAACAAAATGATGTTGTTCTCATCCTTGCCCTCCTCTCCACCCATGCCTTTGCACTGAACATACAAAATTAGAATATCTGGAAAAGAAACTTGGAAATTTGGATTTTAGAATTTTTTTCAAAAATAACAACTTTGATATATAACAAACCATTGAACTAAATTAATAATTATGAGCCATTGAACTAAAATGTTTTTGTTTTGGTACCGGGGATTGAACTCGGGTCCTTGTGCTTGCAAAGCAGGCCACCGAACCACTGAGCTAAATCCCCAGCCCCTGAACCAAAATGTTTATATGCATCTGAGGTAGGAATGAGGAACTATGGAAATTTGGAGTCAGGTTGGGAGTGTATTTGTGAAATAAACAGATGAAGTGTGTCTCATTACTCTCTTAAAGTCTTAAATGGACCTTAGTGCTATTCATATAGTAGGCCAGGGTGACAGTTCCTGATCTGGACAATCTTAGGCATCTCTGCCAAACACAGGAAGAATCAGATATCTCTCCCCAAAACATGAGCATCTCAGACCATTCATTGTAGCATTTGAACCCTCTGCATAGGGAAAGCCGACTTCCAGTTTGTTTGCCTGACTTGGTCTCCTGACTTTGCTTTACAGATAGCAGTGGCCCTTCCAGTACTGTGTCCAGTGCTGGTCCTTCCTCCCCTACTGCTGTGGATGGCAATTCCCATTTTGGCTTCAGTGACCAACCCTTCCTTTGTGCACATGTGACTGAAGAGAGTCAAGGACTTGAGCTGCTCCAGGGGTCCCCTGGAATTAGAACACAAGAGCTCTCCTTAGGAGGGCAGCTTTTTGAACCAAACCAGTCCCTACAGGAGTCACCTGTGGAAACCAGCAAGCCAGGAGGCCAGGAGATTGCTGAGGTCAGCCAGCCATACCAGAAGAGCTATGACGCTGTTAACCATACATGCCAGCCATGCCAGAAGGCCAGCCAACTGTACCAGAAAGTCTCAGAGGAAATTTGGCAGGTTTTGCAGGAGGACCCCGAGGAGGTCAGCCAGCCAAACCAGGGGGTTCCTGTGGTCCATGGGTTCCCTGAGGGAGTTGGCGGCCTGGTCCAGGAAACCCTTGTGGAAGTTGGCAGCCCAAACCAAGAGACCCCTAAAGAGTCCAGCCAGCTGTGCCAGGAGTTCTCTGTAGAGGTTGGCAGGCTGGCCCAGGAGGCTTCTGCAGTCAGTCTGTCATGTCAGGACATCCCTGAGGTTGCTAAGCCGTCCCAAGAGCTCCCTGGGGAGATGGATCTGCAGGCCCAGGAAGTCACTGAGGAAGTTAATGAGCAGGCTTGTGTGGTCCCTGAGGTGACCGATCAGCTGCCTAGAGAGGATGTTCCCCAGACCCAGGATCTGCTGAGTGACCCAGACCCTCAATGCCAGTCCCTACCCCATGACCAGCACTCACCCCTTTCACCAGCAACATGTAATCAACCATTTTCTCACTAATGGTGTCTCGCTGCACCAGACATTCGCGCCAGCAGCCTTTTCTGTTGGCTCTTACCAGCCAGAGAGAGGAGTGGCCCACCACAGAGGTATCTGAGGAAGCAGGCCTCTTGGTGTGAAGTACACCCTTGTTCCAGAGCTGCACTTGGGGAAAGTTAGTTTCATGTGCAGAACAGCCTTTGGCTTCTTGCTTAGCCATTAGAATGGAACAAGATTTTTTGGGGGTAGCTGGTCATTACTTAACCTACTCGCAGGAAATTCCAGATTATTACAGGAAATGGCATTTACCTGCTAAAGATGCCAGTGAGGGCCTGCAAATGTGAAAAGGGACTCCAGAACCTTTATGTGGGAAAACATCGAACACTTCTCAAGGTACCCTTTAGATCATGTGTGCCAGGGTCAGCCAGGATGGCCACCTGAAACATCTGGAAGACCGTTCCCTTCCCAAGCAAATGTCTGTCATAGCCATTACTCTTGGACTGTGCTTACGGGTGTTTCCACGTCATCTCCGGGTGCCCCCTGTGTCCAGTTCTGCTCCTCTGAACAATTGCTCTAGGGAAAAGTAGGTATTAGTCTGCTGAGCAGCTGCAGAATGACTCCTGACTATGCTCTGAGGAGTCCTGGCCACGCCCTGACGCTGGGCCCCCTTTTGCTGTGGAGCTTTTTGGCCTAGGAGATGCTATTGTAGACAGAATCAGGTTCTATTTTAAGAGACTAGTAGAGATCAATATTGTAAAGATGAGAAAATATACATATATATATATATATATATATATGTATGTATATATATATTTCTCTAATTTGCCAGGGATAAGGCACAGAATGGCCAAAGACCAAACACTCCAGGGTCCCCGCAGAGTTTGTTTTATATCATGTGTCCTTAGAACCAGATGTGATTATGAAGCTTTTCCCAAAGATCTGGGGATGGAGTGGGGGTGGGTAGAAGGGATAATGCAGTCATTAGGGTTGGGGGCCGGAACATTTTGAGTGCTCAATAAATGTGAAATAATCAGAATGGTGGTGGTAGTGATGATGTTCTTGTGAATTTAGAGCAAGTATGACTGAGGCCATCATGTCTGTGACTGAATCTGAATCAGTCAGAAGCCATCCTAGTTGAACAGAAATGGGCTATAAAACTACAGCGATCTGGCACTGCAGAAGGACCCTATAGCAGTCAGTCCACCATTCCAGATGTCTTTAACGAGTAGAGTGCAGTTGGCTGGAAAGAGATTTAAGCCCAGCAAAGCACCAGCAGGCACCCGCTTTCTCACCAGTTCTTTGGAATCCTTTCCTTATTTCTTATTTGAAATCAGGAGTCAATATCAAGAGGCTACAGCCTCTCTCTACCCCGTTGACATCTTTATACTGGGAGGACTAGATTGTTCCCTGCCGGTATGTGCATACTCATAACCTACCCACATCTGACATACCTGGGACTCCTGAGAGGCTCAAAGCATTTTACTCCTTGGGGACAGTAAATGTTAAAGGGCCTTTGCTTTGGGGGAAATGTTCACAGTGTCCATGCAGTGGGGCAGCATTCTGAGCCTCTCTAGGCTCAGAGCCTCTTTGGGCCCCTCACCCCCTTCTCTGTCTGGTGTCCCCTGTCCCTAGTATCAGACCCTGGCTATTTGGTCCTCAGCTCTGTGGAACCTATGGAGTGCAGACTGCCTTCTCAGGAGATCCATCACCCTGTAAGCTCTTGGTCCCCGTCCTCAGGCATTCCCACCCATTTCCAGCAATGACTGTCTCCTCATCTGTTTCTTCACCCACCCTGACTCTGTGTCTCCCCTGGGTCATGGAACTTCTTCCGGGAGTCAAAAGAATCTTGCAAGATAAATGACAATGTTGAGTCGGGCATGATGGTGCATGCCTGTAATCCCAGCACTCGGGAGACTGAGGCAGGAGGATCTTGGTGAGTTTGAGACCAGCCTGAGCTACATAGTGAGTTCCAGGTCAGTCTAAACTACATAGTGAGACCCTGTCTCAAAAAACCAAAAAAAAAAAAAAA